GCCGGCAGCCTTCGAGTCCAACGTCCAACTTGGGGCATACTACCGCGAGGACCTCGACGTCTGAGAGCAATATTACCTCATCCTCCACTTTCGGGAACCTGTGTGGTAGAGATGAATGCGTCAACGAATGCGAAGATTACGATGTCATCGAAAAAGCAGACTATGATGAAGACGATTGCGAAAGAGAGGAATATATCAATATCGAGGATAAACAAACTTGTGATGAAGATGAAGATGCAGTCGACGAACTTTGCCAAGAGAATGACAGCTTTTCCGACTATGACGTTCCTTCGTCTCTCGTAGGCGCTTCCGCCCCTGGAGTAGACCAGGTTGTCTCAAGCTCTGTCTTTTCGTCAACTCCCAGTCTCACAAGCTCATCATCCTCAGCTTTCAACCCCATCTTGGACATTAAGATCCGTTGTCTCATCTCCACTTCTAGACATCCTACCGGCGTAGAGGTAGAGATCCCAGTCTCACAGTTCCCTCCCAGTATCTTGCTTCCGATAGTCGACAGAGCATATCGTAGACTAGTTGCTGATTCAGAAGGAACTTGATGATGCTCGGTACGGCTTGGGCTCAAGGCTACATGATACAGTACTTGGATTTTTTCTCTTATACCGACTATTTTCCTGCATTTTTTTGTCGATTCTCGTTTTGTTTCAAATTCTTCTTCGAATAATCCCTTACTTACGTAGATAGATAGATAGATATGTATTTCCTAGGGAAACTTGGTAATTTGACGAACTCCAGATTGACACGTACATAGTACTGATTTCAAAGGAATCGCTCTGGCGATCCATGCGATCAAGATACGGTGCGTCTATTTTCTCTTACAACAAAACAACTCTCAGACGAGCTTGCAGACTGCATCACCAAGAATCTCTATCCTTGATACACCTTCTCGTCTCATTGTGCATTGGCCGGACGAGCTCGGGTGATTAGCTCTTGAGAACGTGACATCTTGCATTATTCTCCAATGCGATACAATAACCCGATGCGCATCGAAGAGTTATTTAGCGTCTCTTAGTGGGTGGGCGATCTTGACGAAGGTGTTTCAAGGGGAGATACCAACTATCGGCAACGACTTGGAGAACAGAAAAGGAAAGACTCTGTCCAGCAAATTCGACCCGTTTCGCCGAATTAGCCCACTGTGAAGCTACTGAGTCGACCCACCCATCAGTCAGTAGAAGGGCGGACTGCGTATGTTACTTGTATTGCAGGGAAGTCATTGAACTCGTACAGGATAATTATCTTTTAAAAGGATTTAAAATCAGAAAGAACGGCGGGTAAAGAAACCACGAAATAATCAGATCTGGGTGTTGTAGTACATTCGTAGAAAATAAAGCAAGCTGGGTCTTAATTATTCCAAGTTACTATCCAATGCCCGTCTTATGAGTGACGCATGTTCTCAGAGCGAGGCTTGATTGTGCATTGGAAGGGTGCGGGGCGGCTGTATATGTGCAGAATGATTTTAGGGAAGTGAATCAGTACGATAATGGAACTGATGGAATGGTACCACATACTTCTGTAGAGTCGAAATATATTCTACCTTCGGCTCAATAGGATTTCCGTCTTTGTCGATGGCCGGGGTGATATTGAACGAGTGAAGCAAGGAGGAAACAGATAGCCAGAAGGAGGAGAGAGCCATGTGTCTCCCTGGGCATACACTATAAGTAGTGAGTTTGTAAGTACAAGGAGGATACAGTGTGAAGGGTACTAACCGTCTACCGAAGCCAAAACTTATACCAGTTGGTTCACGCATGTCTGGGTTGAGCTTCCATCCCCTTTGTCCAGGTACCTTAAGAAGCCATCGCTTGGGTTCAAAGAGATGTGCATTAGGACCGTAGGTTTTCTTGTCTCGTAGTATTCCCCTATCACGATTGAGATAATAGTCAAGAAAGAGTAATTTTACTATACCAAACATTTGGTATCACTATCGAGTGCTTTGGGATAAAATACCCTTTATAGGTGTCATCCGTGTCGACCCGGTGGGGCACGGCTATAAAAGGTAAGTTAAATAAAGTCACAACCATCGAAAACGAAGATACTTGCCTAATGGTGCGACCGTCTCCCATCTAAGCATTATATTTAATTTTTAAAGAAATAAGAAATAAATCGCGAGCGAGGCCTCCGATCAATATCCTCCAGACTCACCTGAAGCATTCATACATGAGAGCTTTCACATACGGTAGCGAGTCTTCATCCCCATGATCTGGTAGCCGCTCCTTGCCAATAACCGTGTCCAATTCTTCTTGCGCCTCGCGTTGAGCATGTGGGAAGCATAACATGGCAAGAACGAATGTTAAGAGAGCAGTCAATCCTGTGTCGGCGCCGCCTTCATAAAAGATAAGGTTGACGAGTAGAAGGGATAATGCCAGCACTTCACCTTCAAACATGGTCCCAGCAGTGTTTTTGATAATCTCTTCCTCATCTGAGAGATTATCAGGTCGAGGATCCGGGATGCTCAAGACGTTGTAGACAACGTAGGCTGAAGCAGTCTTCTGCAGTACTATCGGTGACCTATGAAATGGATATATGTATGTACATATTTGCAATATGCGGTTGACGATACTACTTACTATAGCTCCCTTTAACCTTCATAAACGGTGGTGTGATTGTCGCGTGGCGAATTGCATTCCATGAGTTGGCTTTTCGTTTAAAGGAGGCACCCGGGAACCAGGATGGGACATATTTGAGAATGGGAAAGCTATCCTACGGAGGTGTCAGTAAAATTATTTTTCAGTGCCTACTGGTTAGCTTGAAGAGGGTGCAACCGCTGCATGCTGGACTTACGACGAGAAATGCACCCGGAAGCAGAGCGCGAGTCAGAACATCCATCATCTTGTTGGCTGCCTCAATGTCGGGGTCGTTCTTGGGTTGGACATGAAGGCCGTAGGCTACGCCGAGGATGATTGCACCCATCAAACTATTAGAGAAATTTAATTAGTAATTTGAAAGAAGGCTTTGTGCATTCTCCACAGGAATTGTTTGCAGCCGATAAGAATTTGATATATGATTAATTGGGGAACCAACACTTACTGTCGGGTCTGCTTACTCCATTCCTCCGGTGCATCAAGCAAACTGTTTAAGAAGGAATGAAGGGGTTTCTTTTCATGCGGATGATACAGAGAAGAGTTGGAGGGATGAAATTCTACATGAATGTTAGTGAGATCCTAAAATACTTTGCAAAAAGTGTATTGAAAACAAGTCACCTTGTTTGAAGAGCTTCCTATGGGACTTCCAGTCATTGTCGTATTGCATGAGAAGAAGATCGCCGGTCCATCTGCATGTGGTATTGAGCAATGTAAAGCATAGGATGAGTGTCCATACATACCCTACACTATGAGACAATGCGTAAAGATTTAGATAGGCTTTGAATATTGGCACTCACAGATCATATAACATAGTATAATGCGGCCTGACGGTGACATCTTCAGTCTACTATTAACCGTACAATTTTGGGACAGGGAATAGCGCACCTGCCCGAATAAATACTCGACCTCTTTTCAAGTAGGTCTGTAGCTGCATCGTAGGAGTTTAGCACAATGTAGTTGGTTCCGGCAACTTCAAGATGCAAGATATCCGAATCTAGTGGTCCATGATCTCATGACGTGAGCGTTGACCAGTAGTAAACGATAGAGGCAGATATTACCGAATTCCTCAGCCCACTGGGAAAACTTGATCCACTGAAAACTAGAGGGCATGTCCTATATGCAAACTGATATGAATACCTACGCAGAGAAAAAGCAGCAATAGAAACATGCGTACCAGGATATTCCCGAGCAGTGGAAGCTTTTTAGGACCTGGAGGAAGAGGGAGCTTACGAGTCGAGCCGCGCTGTTGCGACGATGCCAGGCTAGAAAGACAAGCTCCAAGCCACCGTAGCGATAATGATTGCTGGGTTCAGTGCAGCTCCCTCCATGATGAAGAGAGAAAAATGAGAATGGAAAAAGGTGCGTTTAATACTCACACACACACTTATCTAAAGCCAAAGGTAAACGCAACCGCAAATTTGAATCTTCCATAAGGACATAGGCTATACTTACATTCAACAGAGAATAACACAGATTAGCAAAACTTGAGTGATCTCCAGAGATCTTCAGACTCGGAGCTCCGACAGCTGTCAATGAGCTATTGCACTTCTCCGGAGATCTCAGCTTGAATGGGTAACATTGCTCCAGAGGAGCTGCAAATGTACTGTTTTCTCTGGCCAAACCCCGTGCTTTGCTGATGCACCCAGAATTCTGATGTAAATATACTCACATTAAGTAGGTTCGACTTTTGACACCAGCCAGTCGATTCTACTCACTGGGTAACGAGTTAGATATATTGACAGATCAACTTTTTCGGTGTACTCTTTAAGAGGAGTATGGCGGGTCCGGTGGGTCAGAGCCTGTTGGGACGAAGTCAGTCATTGTTTGATTTCAATTTACTACGAAGATTTGGATTTGGACTAGACATAAGATCCGGACAAGCTACTCAGAGCTCGCTCGTTCGCTGATCACATTTAGCCACTGAGAAGGTTGTAAAAACTGGTATTGTAAGATCCGACTTGATCGTCGAAAGCTGATTGCACCAAGTTGACCACCGAGTTTCCCGCAAGGAACAAACCGCAACGTCGTATGTCCTTCTTGCTAAAACCTAGATGTATGCAGCATGAAGGGGTTAGATTCTAAGCGCATTCAGTAGTGAGGCGGCAAACTCGCAGTTATACATGCCTGGAAACCAAAACAACCCTAGGTCAATTAAACGGAGTCCCTGGTTATATGTTGAGCTTTCCAGCAGCTTGAAGAATGCGGGAGATTCGGAGGAGTCGGATAGAAACGCTGGTGCCATGCGCGCGCTTAAAATTTGAATTCAGTCCACTGAGCCAGTGAAGCTACGTTGATCGATGAAGGTCAAGTCTTCTTCGTTCTGTTGTAGTTTCTCTTCACTTTACTCCGAGTTCTCTCTTCATATGTACACCTACTATATGATGTTATCTCTGATCAACTAGCAGGTCCCTGGTAGTATATCGGTTAGTACACGCGCTTGTCACATGTGCCATATGGAAGCTGGTGTCGCGCGAAAGCTGGGTTCGACTCCCAGCCAGGGAGTCCACGGATCCAATGACAGATCATTTCGTTTTTTTTTTTTTTTTTGCCACTACGAATGAAATTCCAAGAATCCATTCGCGTCCTCACGCTGAACTACTCTACTTAAGTTATAAGTAACGACATACATAGTACACAGTATATACTTGTTTCTGTCTTGTCTTCCGAATGCCAACACATCCCTATCGTCGCCAATCGTAGATTCGTCCCCGTACCGGCATTTCTCCCACTCCGTCCAGCTGCGTTGAAACTGTCTCAAGGATACTACGTCCTAAACTTAAAACAAGCCCGCCAGATCGGCGAATGGGTCCTTCGCCTGCGGTGCTGGCGTTGATGTTGGTGGTATCGAATGCGGCGTCTGCGTCGGTAACGTTTGGACTTGGGGCGCATAGGCCTGATTCGGCATACCCATCCCCGCAGGTCCACCCATACCGATAGTGGCAGAATTCCCAACCCCTGATCCAAAGTAATTCGGGGACGCTGGATGTGAGGGAGCAGAAGACGAATTTCGTTGTTGTTGGAGAGGTAGGAACGCGTTTCTAGTTCCCATTCCTGGAGTACCGACACCCGTACCCATCCCCGTTCCCATCCCTGTATGCATCCCCGTACCCATACCGACACCCATACCGACGTGTCCCGCAGTAGGAGGACTAGGAGAAGAGGAATACATGGGCGGCGTATACGACATAGCCTGCGGTATAGGGGGGGTATAACTCGACTGTGGTATAGGCGGCGTCCCAGCGACATTCATACCAGGTAAGCCCAAGCCAATCCTTGATTCCATAGCTGGCATGGTATTTGATGGATTAAAGAGGCCCATGAGGTCGTTTCCGTTGGATGACGCTGATGTCGATGGATTGGTGTTGGTGGGGGCGTAAGGACTGGGAGTGGCATCATAAGGGTTGGCGGAGGCAGTGGGATTGGGATTATCGAGGTCAAAGTCGATAAGAGAAGGACCCGCAGCATTAGTCGACAGTTCTTGCGGAATAGGATTAGAAGCAGAGACATAATCTCCCTTCTTGAACGATTCGTATCTGTTCAGGACAGAGTTGATCTGGTCGTTCATTTGTAGGAATGTATCTGCAAACCAGTTGTAGATGAAAGTACGGAATATAGTGAAATCACCCACCGAGTTCCTCCGTGTCTCCGCCCTCCGCTTCCGATACCCATTTCTGCAATTTTGGCCTCGCAGCCTTTAATATGCCCGCAACCTGATCATAAGCATCGCCTTCCACGAACCTCTCCCTCCTCGCAACATCTACGTTATCCAACATCTCATTCAACAAAACTACCTTCGCCTCAAGTTTATTAATCTCCTTCATCGCTAAACTTCTGTAATCCGGTTTATCCTCGTCGGGAATCGCCCCAGCCAACGCTTTCATGAGTTCCTGCGCTGCTGCCAGATCTCTCGGCGTCCCTCTCCGAATGAGTTCTTGGAGTTTGGCAGATTGGGCTTCACGGTCTTCGGACTCGAGTTCGGAGGCTGTTTTTAGATTGGCGGTGACTGTAGCCGAGTCTGCGTCCAGTTGCTGCGTCTGTGGGCGAGGAAAATCACGAAAACGATATCCTTTGAAGGTCAGCAGCCTATGCATATCCCGAATATTGCCTAAATCTTCTTTCCATCTCGATTCACTGCAAATTCCCTCCTTCCAAGTATGGATCAGTTCTAAGATCCTCGACATGACAGCGTTGGGATAAGGTGGAGGTCGTTCGGGAAAGCGGCGAACCAGCTCATTGAGGAATTCCTTGGTTGAGATTTGGAGATGGAAGGGGTATCCGCATGATTGAACGAGCGTCGAGAGCAGGGCAAGGGAGAGCATCGCGATATGTGGGTTCCGATTATTAGCTAGCCGGGCGATGGTCATTGCGGCTTCTCGGGGACTGAAATACCAAATCATTAGTATGGTCCATACCAATCGATAGATAGAGCATACTTGTTAGCCTTCTTCGTATTAATATACTCTGCAACCTCCAAATGTGTAGCATAATTCGGTTCAGAAAGTGAGGGATCGCATGCTCGAGTTATTAGGATCTCTAGAGGTGAGACTCGCGCCCAGGTAGCAGATGTTGGGCTTTGAAGCATTTTTGGTGGTTGGTGGTCACAAACAAACGTGGCATGCCAATTCGGGGGAAGGATCAGAAACGGCTAGACGCCGGCCTTGCCTTATCTTATCACTTCCTTAAGATTCCTATACTTCCTAGTCTGACCTTCAGTCTCACCGTCTTAGCTATATCTATCTATCCGTGCTCCTCAGGCTCTACGCAAGCTTTGATTGTGTAGTAGTCACTATAACTCGAATCTGAGATTCCTACTGTCCGCTATCGAATTCGATTCGAGCTCACTGGCTCAAGCCAAAAGGGTTCGAGTGCTTGACCTTCATCATAATACACAAGAAACAGTTTCTAATGTTCATCCACGAGTCCAAATTACCGTACTGTTTCTAGGTCCTAGAGCGATGGGAGCAGATAGAGATCTTTCTCTGGAGTCCGATATGGTAGTCGCACGATCATGTGTTATGTTACGTGTTACTTCCCCTTTGAGGGGCGTTTCTAGCTTCGTCTTCTTCCAAAGGTCCTCCAAACCTCAGCCTGAACTAGAACTGCAGTTACTGCAATCTGATTTTTCTTAACTCTCCGAGTTTTCTATATTCACGGTCGTAGATTCCCTCATCAGACTTGTCTTTAAGCTAACGCACTATTCCTCGTCTCGAATTCGGCAGTCTGCGCATAGTTCTTCTCGTCTGCACAAGCGGAAGCTTACCTTGGATGTTTAAATTACTTCGACTCGCTGATTGTGATGACTGGGATGCAGAACGGAGGAGGAATTTATAATGCGTCGGCGTTGCGTCCGCATCGGGAACATAGCTTTCGTTCGTTTACTTCAAGTTGTTTTGCCTTCAAAGGAATCAAGTGTACGTCGATATGTGCTCACACTCGTCCTTCGTGACGCTCCACATCCGGATCATCTCCCTTCCCCTGGGCCTCTCTTCTTTAGCTTCAGGCTTGGGCTTAGATGCTTAAAGATACGAAGACGTTCCTACTTGAGAATATGTTCCCCTGTTTTCCCTGCGAGTTGTCCATTATAGGGAAAGTTGAAAGCTATACGTGTTGTGTTCGCTTGTGTTCCCTGTGAGCTGCGACAGAGCTTGCTATAAACATGTCCATGGTGAAGAGGATAATCTGGGACTTCATATCATCTCGCTCTTCTCAAGTCTCATCGCGGCTCTCTTCAAGTTGGCGGCTCTTGAGATTCCTTGAATGTTCCAGCGGGCCAGTTGTAGAACTTCAGGGCGTTGCGGAACTTGCTCTTTATGCAGCCGGGTAATAGGATAAATAACCATTAGAAACGAGCAAGCGGATCGAGCAGGAGCAAGCGAACTGAGGCTTTAAAAGTATGTTGCGGAAATGCATTGTGCAACTTGACATCTAGACATCTTGATCCAATTCTTGAAACTCAATCTCGCCACCGGAAATCGCAGTATTTTGGGAACAACTTTCATTTGGCGTTTACTAGAGTGCGTGAAATAATGAGCGAACAACAATATAATAACATATCTAAGAAGCAGTGTGACAAATCGACCCGTTTCGTTGGTGATTTTAGATACACCGTCCTCTCTTGCTTGATTTCTGCTCATGAAGTTACACAACCCATCCGTTCCAGTCAGTGGAAAGGGAGTCCTTGTTCTCACTGAAACTCGTATAGTAAAAACATTAAAAAGTCAGATCTGGGAATCGTACGCGTACAGAGACTCGGAAGAAAGCAGATTACACTAATTATTCCAAGCTGTTATCCGATGCTCGCCTTATATGAGAATTGCATATTCCTCGGAGCGAGGCTTAATTGTGCATTGGAAGGGTGCGGGCGGCTGTAAGTATGTGCAGAGCGATTTTCATTCAAGAGGGAAGGAACTTGTACAGGATAATCATCTTTTAAAAGGATTTAAGACCAGAAAGAGTGGCCAGTAAAGAAATCACGAAATAAACAGATCTGGGTGTTGTAGTACATTCGTAGAAAAGGAAGCAAGCTGGGTCCTGATTATTCCAAATTACTATCTGATGCCCGTCTTATGAGTGACGCATGTTCTTCAGAGCGAGGCTTGATTGTGCATTGGAAGGGTGCGGGGCGGCTGTATATGTGCAGAATGATTTTAGGGAAGTGAATCAGCACGATGATGGAGCTGATGGAGTGGTACCACATACTTCTGTAGACTCGAGATATATTCTACCTTCGGCTCAATAAGATTTCCGTCTTTGTCGATGGCCGGGGTGATATTGAACGAGTGAAGCAGTGAGGATACCGATAGCCAGAATGAGGAGAGAGCCATGTGTCTCCCTGGGCATACACTATAAGTAGTGAGTTTGTAAGTACAAGGAGGATACAGTTTGAACGGTACTGACCGTCTACCGAAGCCAAAACTTATACCAGTTGGTTCACGCATGTCTGGGTTGAGCTTCCATCCCCTTTGTCCAGGTCCCTTAAGAAGCCACCGCTTGGGTTCAAAGAAATGTGCATTAGGACCGTAGGTTTTCTCGTCTCGTAGTATTCCCCTATCACGATTGAGATAATAGTAAAGAAAGAGTAATTTTACATACCAAACATTCGGTATCACTATCGAGTGTTTTGGGATAAAATACCCTTTATAGGTGTCATCTGTGTCGACCCGGTGGGGCACGCCTATAAAAGGTAAGTTAAATAAAGTCACAACCATGAAAACGAAGATACTTGCCTAATGGTGCGACCGTCTCCCATCTAAGCATTATATATATTTTTTATAAAGAAATAAGAAATAAATCGCGGGCGAGGCCTCCAATCAATATCCCCCAGACTCACCTGAAGCATTCATACATGAGAGCTTTCACATACGGTAGCGAGTCTTCATCCCCATGTTCTGGTAGCCGGTTCTTGCCAATAACCGTGTCCAATTCTTCCTGCCCCTCGCGTTGAGCATGTGGGAAGCATAACATGGCAAGAACGAATGTTAAGAGAGCAGTCTAATCCTGTG